TACCTTGAGCAAAACAGGTCACAAACGGATTAAGGAATTTTAATCTTACTTTCAGTTCTTTAAAGCGCCGGTTTGTCCCGTAAACCCTCGAAACTTCCAGCCAGCTACTCTCAACGTGTCGTGATTGATTGTCCAGTGAGGAATGTGCTGATGTGCCGTGAGGCTGCATTGGCCACTGTCAACCTCTACCACTTTTTTCTTCCCGCTTGCGGCAGTCCACCATCCTAGGCCTCCAACCAGCTGGTGTTGGGAGTGGGCACAGTGGTTGAGTCGAAGTGAGAGGACCTACGCCTGGGCGTGCCTTCACATCCCTCCCTGTACGGCGGTAGTAGTGGGCATGTGCAAACGCAGTACAGCCCGAAAAAAACTCCTACTGTGAGCCAGCATGAACTACTTTGCAATCGGTCAAATCTGAGAGCGCAGCTCACTGCGGGGCCTATCAGGCACTAAATAGTACTTCAATAACCTACTAATGCCCTATTTCGGAGGATAATAACTTTCTCCCTCGTGTACATTCTTTCACAAAGGTTACACTGGCACTCTATGTCGTCTTATATACTTATAGTCAAATCCTTACCTCCTGTTGACGAACAGTCTCCGCGCATGAGACACACGTCGGCTGACAAGCATTTGCACCCTGCTCAATCTGTGTGGCAAAGTGGTCAGCTGCACAGTTACGACAGGCAACATGACGACACTTCCGGAAACGAATGCACTGAGTGCCGGGTAGCTCATCGAAGCAGATAGGACATTGTTGAGTAGCGTCAGCGAATTCATGATTCCTGAGCTGTTCTTCGTGACTAACCGCCAAGTCCGTTAGTCGATAGATCATGTCTCCACCTTCAGCATCATCGCTAGGCTCCTCAAGTTCCGCATACTCAAATAAGTCGATGCTAATGGGTGCGTCTGGAGAGGTTCTAAACAGGTAGTCAACCACCTCCTTTTCGAGAAATTCGCAGCAGTGCTTCACAACGAAATCTCCAGTAAACATACCTATCTCTTCTGTCAGTCGAGCAGAGACCAAGTCCATGAACATTGAGGATAACCAAATAGAATCCAATGTGAAACTAAAGTTCGGATCCGCAGGATAGGATTCTCCGAGATAGAAACGAAGGAAGATTGGAGGTAATCTATTTAGAAGGTAGGTGAAGTGACCGTTGGCATCATGTGAAACACATATTT